AAAAATTTTCACCATCTACTGTGGAAACTTCTCTGACGAGGTTTGAGCGGGGCAGTAATCGGTGTCACAGTCATTCAGAGTTGGTTAAAAACAGAGACACTGTTCAAAATAGAGAAAGAGACTGCACAGTGCTCAGCTCTAAATGGTGGCACCTATAACACATCTCTATCCCCAAAGTTGAGAAGTCCTTATGGAAGAAGGGCAAGAAGGACTGTGAGGGCTGGAAGTAGCGGACAACCAGACGAAGCAGTGCTTTCTATGCATAGCAAGGCAGTTACACACACAAACTTGGTGTTGTGACAGCATCCCCAAGACCTGTGCAAGCTGAGCCAGAACAATTCCCAGCATAGAGGAAGGAGGTGGGCATGGCATTTTGTCTCCTGGAGTGGTACAGAGAAGTCAGCTTGGTTATGTGCTCATTCTGTGACTGCTCGGCCAGAGCAGAGAGCCACCCAGGATTGATTTCTGCAAGTTTATTACAGGTCTGGTTCTCAGTTCACTCTGCAATGAATATCTGCATGATTCTAGAAGGCATGCATACCAATAGCACCTTGATTTTAGGACTTCTGAGTTTCAGAAATGTAAGATAATAAATTTTTATTATTTTAACATGTTATTATTATTTTTTTAGCATTCATTATATTAGTGTTAGAAACTCGGTGTGTGTGACAATTGGTATTTATATTCCTTTCTTAAGCATTGCTTCCAATTCCATTTAAAGAGGAAAATAAATCATGGAGTTTGAGCAAGTAGAATTCATGTCACTTACCTTGGAAATTGTTTAATAACTTCTTTCAGAAAAATGCAATTAGATGCCTAATTTATAGAATTAGCCAAATGTCTACGATCTAAACATGTGTACTATGATCAACTTCAAGGTACCAATATTATGCCACTGACCACAGAACCAGGAAGAGGTATCAGTTTCTACACATGACTGTATGCATATGGGTTTGGGTATGTGTATTTCTAGGCATACGTGTGAATGCAAATGCAGAATTCCTATATTAATTAGAATTTCTCTCTTCTGTCAGAAGAACTATAAAAGAACATAAGTGGGAAAATGGGCCAAAGTCTCTTGGAAGAGGGAATTGTGAATTCAGATTCCTGATGGGGGACTGAGTTTGATGTTTTAATTGTCTTTCAGGTGTATCTAAAGGAATTGACTTAGTGCGACTACTATCACAAGATAGCATATACCAGCTGTCTTATAAACAACAGAAATTAATACTCATTATTCTAGAGGCTGAGAAGTCAGAGATCATGCTAGGAGGTTTAAATTCTGGTGGTTTCCTCTTCTGATGCCCAGATGATGTCTTATAGTTTTGTCTTTACTTTGTGTGAATGAAAGCAAAGACAACTTTCCTAGGCCTCTTTGGTAACCACACTCATCTCGACCATAGGAATGATGTCGTCTAGGTATAATTACTTCCCAAAGCTCTCCTCTGTCCCCACATCAGACTGGGGATTCGGTCTAGGGATTAGGTTTGGGGAGTTACAAGGTTTTAGAGTATCAGGTATCAGGAAAGCTAACACAGGTGGAGAAGAGTCATTTGTTAAGTTGTGTTTGGATGGAAGCCCTGCTCAACCCTGCAGAAGCTAGGAAACCCCATCTGCCCCCTTTACCCCAACCCCGCCCACACTGAGCAACCTCTGAACAAAGGAGAGACACCCAGAGCCTCGTTCCACATTGCTGGTAGCTGTCACAACCTCCTCCTCCTGATGCTGCCCCACAAATCCCCGCCTAAGTGCTCAGCTCTTGACCATACTTGGGCACAAGACCAGCCTGTGGCTTACACGTCATCACGCTTAGCCTACAGTCTATAAAACTTCCCCTACCATAGTACAGGCACAAGACTCACTCAGCCCTGCTCCTTCGGACTGATGGATCTGACCAGGGGCAGCACCTAGTGAATCTGCTTTTAATTTGGTCTAATCTGGCCTTAATTTGGTCTAATCTGTGTCACCATTAGAGAAAAAAAGCCCATTACCAGGGAGTCATTATAAGTATGTATTAAGTGTGTTTATTTAGGGTTCCACAGAGAAGGCCTCACAGATGTGAAGATAGAAGGTCCTGATGAGACCTGATAGGCTAGGGTCAGATGGAAGGGGAGGAGGACCTTCCCTATCAGTGGATTTGGAGAGGGGCATAGGAGGAGTTGAGGGTGGGATGGTGGAATTGGGAGGGAATGAGGGAGGGGGCTACAGCCGGGATACAAAGTGAATAAACTGTAATTAATATAACAAATAAAATTTTAAAAAAGTTAAGGTAGCTGCAGTTTGGTTAGAAGAAAGAACAAAACTTCCCTGTGAGCCCTAGAAATCACATTTGGCAGGCAGTATTTTCCCTCACAGATAAAGATTTCCCAGTCTTTAACTTTTATATAAAGAATGTTTTTAGAAAACCCACCTTCTACTAACCTGGGTTCATAGAAGCTCACAGATATTGAACTGAAAACCAGGGAGCCTGCATGACACTAACCTAGGCCCACTGTAAATATATAACAGCTGTGTAGCTTGGTTATTCATGTAGGACTCCTAAGAGCAGGGCTGTTTCTGACTCTGTTCCCTGCTTTTGGGACCCTTTCCTCCTACTGGGTTGCCTTGTCCAGCCTTAATAGGACAGCAGGTGCCTAGGATTATTGCAACTTTATATGCCATGGCTGGTTGATATCTTTGGGATGCCTGCCCTTTTCTGAAGAGTAATGGGGGCGGGGAGGAGGTGTGGGGAGTGGCATGCAGTGAAGATGTTTAAAAAAAAAAAAAAAAGAATGTTGTGTTAAAAGTCCAAATTGGGACTCCTATTTTCTAAGGGTGAAATGGTATTTTCAGGATGTTGGTTTTAATCTGTGCTGCCTTACATGATCTAAGTCTCTTGTCAATATTACAAGCTAACTATACCAGCAGCAACAAAATGTGCTTAAAAGATGGCACATTCCAAGTGTGCAATCCTGGGACTTCAGCTGACTCACTGATTATTGATTCTTCTCTCCTGATAGCCTTGTACAAACGAATCACCTACAGCTTAAAGAATGAAGAAATAAATCTTCACCACCAATCTAAATGTTTTCCAATAATATAAAGACAAGACCCAATTAAAAGTTGCTCAAAATAAGTTGCCTTTCTTTACCCCCATTTTCTTTGCTTCTCCCAGTGACAAAATCTACTCTTTCAACTTGACAACATATTAATTTGGTATTTAATCAAACTTTAACTTCTTGATTTGCAAATCGATTTTGTACGTGGATAATTTGGTCTTTGTTTTTTTTAAATTATTATAACATTGCTTATGATTTCTTGGTTGAGATAAATCAATCTAGAAACGCCATTTCTCTTTTTTTCCTTTTGAAGCTAAAGGAAGGCATTGCGGGGAAGAATGAAGTCATATGGCTTAAAAATCACTTTTAGCTTACAATGAATAGAAACATGTTGAGGCACAGTCTGGAGGTGTTCTAATAACATAGATGAGACATAATGGCAATATGGTCAAGAGTGATAGCAGCAGAAGTGGGGAGAGTTTTCTACTGTTAATCAGAGTTGATCTGTTTGAAGAAATTGAGTGGAAGGTGTGGCAAGAAAAGTAGGCAAAGCAGATCATGAGATTTTTGTATTAGTCTTTGCAAAGATGGAAGCACCATCATCTGTAGGGTGAAAAATGACTGAAGCCTTGGGGGAGATCAAGAGCTAATTTTGGTCATGTGACATTTAAGAACTTTTAAGAGGACTGTGAACTGAGAGCGGATACCTTAAAGTCAGAGGAGAAAATCAGCTGACATTTTAGATTCATTTAAAAATTATTCTGGATGAGTTCATATATAAAAAAACAGAGCAGGGGTACTGTGCATATGAACTCAGAGAGATTGTTGCAGAATGCGAGGGCCAGCATGTGTATGTGCCGGTTGGGCTCCCACCACTGAGAGTAGAAGTAAGTGGTCACAAGCCCCTATCCCTAACCCAGGAAGCTGTCTCCAACTGGTAGCTTTTGTTTTCTCTAATTTCTCCACTGCAGGTTCAAACCACTCTTAAGGGCATGCACCAGGCCAGGCAAAGCCAGCCAACACAACAAGAACTCAGTAGCATTTTTGGAGGTTCTTTGTCTCATAATGTTTTGTCAGGGTATTTTTATTTTAACCTTACTGGTCCTTAGAATACATATTATGGCTTCTGCTTTTGTGTTTTTATTGGATTTCTGTGTGTGAATGTGTTTCTGGATCTATCTGCTTTCTTGTGTTTTTCCTTGGCTTTTTCTTCTGTTTGTTTTGCTCTCTTCTAATTTGCTTTTGTTTTTTATATCGTTTTTATTACTATTCTTTGGATTCCTGTTTGTTTTCTAAGGAGACAGAAATGGTGTGCATTTGAGTAGGCAGGGAAGTGGGGAGGATCTTGGAGCAGTCAGAAAATTTTATGACTATATATTTTATGAAAGAATTCTATTTTCAGTAAAGCAATAAAAAAGTATGTTTGAAAGTTATAGGGACATTAAGGAAGGGAGCCTTAAAGGGAGGCCATTTGTGAAGAGAATCTGATGTGAAGGAAAATAAATCTTATGCAGAACGAAATGCAATTATATAAGAGTGTGTTTTTGTTGCTTGCTGTTACTATCAGAAAACCAGGCTGCGCTAGTAAGGCCTAAATTCCTAAGGAATCCTGATAAAATACAGACTTCTTTCATTTACTGTCTAGTCCATTGGAATCCAGTTGCTTGACTGAGAGCCTGCCTAGCACAGGAGGCTCTTAATGGGCTTATCCACTAATCTCACAATTTCCCATCCCCTCTCTCTGGAAACAAGAGTCCAAGTACAACTCCACTGAGAACTGTAAACAGAAAGTGAGCAAAACAAGCCTGAGCCCTTTAAGGAGTGGACAAGGTAGAAACACACTCTCGGCCCAGGGAGTCCCTTCAGCCTGCGCTTCCGGTGCTGTGGGCGTGGCTTGCGGGTGACGTCACTGCCGCGCGCCGACGCGCCGACTGGCGGCAGATTCAAACCTAGGGCGCTGGGGCCTGGGGAAGGGAGCGGTGTGCGAGCTGGCAGCGTCGCCCTCGGCGCCTCTGCAGGTGAGCGGTCCAGCTGTCGCGGAAGCCCGAGTTGAGGGACGCGCGCTCGGCCGCGAAGATGGCGTACTCCGCCACGGTCTCGAAGCGGGTGAAGCGCAAGGCGCCCCGCGGCTTCCTCAAGGGCACCGTCAAGCAGAGGAAGCCGCACCTCCGCCTGGAGCGGTGCAGCGACCTCCTGGTGAGTCCTGCCACGCCTGTCTCTTTTCGCCCGGACCGGCGGCGTCCCAGCCTTGTCCCACCCGGGGGACGCGGAAGCCCTGGGGAGGTAGATAGAGCCAGTGTGTGGGAGGGAAGGTTGGCTCCAGCAGGAGCCGCGCTTCTTACTGCTTCCCAGACTGCCCGGCCTTGTGATGAGTTTACTTGGGCAGGGTCTGGAAGGTAAACGGTCTGAGTACAGATTTGGCCTCCCCAGCTCCTTCTGTTGTCATCGAACACATTGCTCTATGGCTGCTGCACTGGTTCCCTTTCTAAAGGCGTGGCATTCAAAAGGGATCATGTGGCTGTGGATTCATCTTCCTAGACAGATGATCGAACCCTCTTCAAGAGTTTAACCTTTCAAGGCTGTCACTTATCAGGTTCCTATTTACCCGGAATATAATGCATATAATGCTTTTCAGTAATTGAAACAACTGACTGTTCTGCTTTGAAGTAAATTCTATTTGTGCTTGTTTTTTTTTTTTTTGTTTGTGTGTGTGTGTGTGTGTGTGTGTTTGTGTGTGTGTGTGTGTGTAGAGCCAAAATACAGCCCCTCCCCTATGGGGGGGGCAATACTTCTGTCATTTGTTCTTTTCCTTTCTCATATTCTATTAGAAAAGGCAAGGTTGCTGTTTTGTTTTTCCCACTCCTGACTCTGTGGTAGCGGTTGAAGCAGCCGCAGTGAGTTCAGCTTCCCTCTGTTTTCACTGGAGCCTGTTAGAGAGGAAAACCCACCTGATGAGGAATACCCAGGAGTCCACTAGCAAATTCAAGGGGTTGACAGGCCAGCTTAGATTCCTGTTCTCTGTCCTGGAGTGAGCAGTGGATAATATGGTCTCTCTGGTGGAGCCCTGTGGGTGGCAGGGGAAAGAAACCTATCTTGTAACAGTGGGAGAAGGGAAGTTCCACTGGCCATTTGTTGCTTCCAGCTGTTCATCTGGCTTTTGCTAAACAGTTCCTGTCTGGTCCTTATGCCATTTCTTTGCTCACAGCTTTCTGCTCTCCATTAATTTTATAATCTTACCCAATAAAGTATTCCATGTCATCCATAAGGTTCTTCCTGTTTAAAGCAGTAGGTCTTGCTCTTTTTTCTGAATGCCATGCCCGTTATTGAAATGTTAATACCGTTCCTGGTGATTCATTTCTTGATGGTGTCTGCCCGCAGTGTGGAGTCTTAGGGGGTGGTTGTCCCATTTAGTCCCATTTAGAATTGGATCACGGGCCTTTTGTCTTCTCTATGTTTGGCACAATGCCTTAAAGCTTCTGAGTCAGGGTATTTCTTGGAATACTTGTGCCTGATATAAGTATTAAAATAAAGAAAATCGTGAAAGATACCTTTTAACTAACACACCTGTAAGAAGCTATGGACTAGGAAGTTGTAATAAATTTCCTAAAGATGCATCATTTGTGTTAAAAAGGTTCATTAATAGATATATTTATATACACATGCACATATAATATTTATAAGTCATCTAATGATATTTTATATATAATTATAGTGGTTAACTATCTAATGATGCTTTGCTTTTAAAGATTCATCTGAATTGCATACTCTTTGTTCATCGGTTGGCAGAAGAGTCCAGGACAAATGCTTGTGAGAATAAATCTGGAGTTATCAAATGGGATCATGTACTGGCTGCAGCCAAGGTAAACTATAAATTCTCTTTTTAAGCAAGGGTTAGTCTTAAAAATACTACTATAGGTATCATCGTTGTCTGTTTAAAGATTTTAATTTCAAAATACCTGTAAACTAAGATTGTACAAGAACAGTTGAATCATAGTTTGATAAAATTAGGAAAGACTAGAAGAGGTGAACCAGTGAGGAATGTTGCTGAACTTTGTTTAAGAATGCTTTGGAGCTGCATTTAAAGACATAAAATGCTCAGCATTTTGTAAATTTGTTTAAGCTCATGACATTTTCTTTTATAGTACCTGTATTAATGTCTCTTTGCTCAGAGAAGTGTTGGCCTGGGTTACAGACCTGCATTTTGTGCATGCGCTGCCATCTTTATGAGGCTTCTCAATGCTCTTCAGTGAGAAACATCACAACTACTAAATGAGTACTTTCTTGAAAACAATGCAATGAATTAGAGCATAAGAAATATATGTGAGTGTTTCACATTTAGACCTTTGTTTTCTCTACATTTTTATTGCCTTTATTGTGTGCCTGCATGTGTGTGCTTGCATGTGTGTGTACACATGTCTGCATGTGCCCTTGTCACAGCGTACCTGTGCAGATCAGGGCAACTTTTGGCAGCTGGTCCTCTCCACGACGTGGATTCAAACTCAGGTCGTCAGCCTTAACAGTCAGTGTCTCTATCTGCTCAGCTAGCCCATGGGACCTGAGGTCCATTTTTCTTTTTTAAACTGTTGTAGCTAAATTCTTTTAAACATTTATTTTTATTTTTGTTTATTTTTTTTTTTGGAGCTAATTTAGGTTTTATCCTCCCAGCCTTTTTGCAACTGAATATTTCCTTTTTTCTTATTTTTCAACATTTTATGTTTTGAATATTGTGTGTGAAGCAAGTTATTCAATATGAGATCACCAGTCTTAACCGCCAGTTGATATAATTCCAGCTAAATTGTGAAACATTTTACACTGTGGTGAGTTTATACCACCTGATACTGCTTTAGAGGTGCTTTGAGTTTAAGGACAGTTTTTAATACTCTAGATCATTAATTTGTTGGCAGTCAGGGGCTTGGGGACAGCATACGACACAACATCTAAAACCTAGTTTGAAATCAACAGTTTTGACACTTTCAGCTTTTAAGTGGCAAGGTTTGTGAATGAAAGTGACTCTAAAATGAGGTTTGGTAGTCTAGGGATGTTTCACATTTATTGAGAGAAGTTTACCACATTAGAGAAATCCAGGGCCCCTACATTGCAGATCAGTAATCATGACAGATGTTCCATAGGTATAACATGTATCTTCATGTCCTTTCTTACAGGTAATTCTGAAGAAGAGCAGAGGTTAGAGGTCAACATGTGTTTAAGAGTGACATGTGTGTTAATTTAATTGGGAACAGATCATAAAAGCACATCGTATGTATCAGTTCATATTGTGGCTCGTTAAAACATTGCCTAGATGTGCAGTGTGTACAGTTTACTTTTTAAAGGCTTCATGTTCATTCATTAACGGCTTCTCAGCTCCCTTCTGTGTTGCTGCTCTCGTGCACCACATCGCACTGCATGAAACACTCAACTTCGGCTGTATTCACAAAGTATTTCTGTTTAGTTTTGTGCTACACTAATAGTAACAGTAACATTTCTCACTTAGAAGATTGTAAGCATCAGCTAAAGATCTTACAAACCTGTTTCCCTATGTAAAGCACAACAAGAAGTTTTGAAGCAAACTAACCTGCTTTCTTCACATACTGGAATCTAGTAGATAAGACATTTTCCCACAGCAGCATTTCAGTTCCACAGAGATCTTCTTGGGTCTCTTACACTCATTCAGCTGCCACATCTTCTACCAGACTGCCACCCTAACCGACTCTTCTCCACCTCTATAATTACGAGAATGGTATATAAATGGAAGCTTGTAAGAAACAACCTGTGGAGACTCTATGTTATGCAGTAATATCCTTGTGTTCTCTTCAAGTCATTGCATGTGTTTGGTGCTGCATGGTGTGGATGCACCAAATTTTGTATAGCTGCTTATTGAGGAACATTTTGATATGTCTAATTTGGGGGTTATTATAAATAAAATTTTATGAATGGTTGTAAACAGGTTTTTCTTAATGTGTATGAGTTTTCATTTTTTTTTCTGGGAAAAAGGCCTAGAAGTTTGATTGATGGGTCAAATGGCAAATATATATTTAACTTCAAAAAACAAACTAACTATTATAGAGTGATTATACTAATTTACATTTTCACAAAAAGTGTATGAAAGTAATTTTGTTTGCCTTCTGGTACATGTTTAGTTTTGTTATTTTAATTTTAAAAATTTTAGCTGTTCTGACAGGAATGTGTGGTTTTAATTTACATTGTGCACATTGCACAGTGGCTTTTGTTTATGTTGGGGTTTTATTACAAACTGACATATAGTGGGAAGCTTATAAGCAAGTTTTCTTGAGTTAGTTGTGGTTAGAAGTCCAAAACTAGAGTGTTCACACAGGTGAGTTCTGGTGATGTTTATATTTAGTTATTCAACTTCAGCTTGCAAAGATTTAGGAAGTTCACATTCTGTGGGAGAAAGATTGTAGTGATTTTGAAGGACTGAAGATACAGTCTAATCCCGTGAAGAGAATCATACTCCAACCATGGACAATGCAGGAAGAGGACCTAAAACTCCGGCTTGGAAGGTAGTTATCTTATTACACTGTAAAATGGTTTCTGGGTACGAAACTCAAGGCATCAGGTTATATCTGGATTTTGAACTGAAGGACTTGAAGAACTAGACCTGAAGGAGTTGAAGTGTCAGTTCCTCTAATTACACACGGCCAGTAGTAATGTACTTTTATATAAATCCTTGTGGAAATAAACATGTTTTTCTTCTGATCCCAGCTGTGGGATGTGGGGCAGAGTCAGGTAGTCCACAGCAGCAAACCGTTTGCCTCCTGCAGTCTCTGAGAGGAGCTCTTTGCCACCTGTGGAGAGTTTAAATCTTAGGACTGGAGGGAGGATAAATGCCAGAGCCCAGAGAGTGTTGAGCTCTGAGAACGAACAAGACTGCTGCTGCTTCCCACCTGCAGCTCTTGGTTGCTGTTGATGCTATTCTGAAAACAGGATTGGACTGGCTCCAAGGAACATGATTACCCTAACCAGCAGGAAGCAGCTAAGAGAACTCCTCCCTCTTCCACTAACCCTTCCTCTCTCCTACCTGGTGTTGGGGTGTTGGAAGGGATTGGGGTGGAGTAGGAAGCGAGAAATAGAAGAAATATAAATAGGAGGTTGGGGATTTAGCTCTGTGGTAGAGGCCTTGCCTAGCAAGCACAAGGCCCTGGGTTCCGTCCTTAGCTCTGGAAGAAAAAAAAAAAGACAACAAGATCTATCAGCAGAATCTATGAAACAAAACAAACTAAAGAAATGTAAATAAAAGTTTTTTTAAAGTATGCCAACACTTCTTGAATTTTGAGAATAGTAGAGATTTGAGATCCTAACAAAGAATAATTTAGAAATATTAAACTCCTAACATTGAATTTATTAATTTTGATGTTCTGAACCAAAGAATATCTTTATTTTGTATGTATTATTTGTATAAGAGTGCTAAGCATAGTGTCTATTTTACTGAAAAGCCATCTCTAGCATTTATTTCTTTTTTCCCTATGTCCTTTCCACTTCTAACTTTTCTTCTGTGATCTTGTAGTTTTGTTGTTGTGGTTGCTAAGGCTTGAACCCAGGGCCTCATGGTTGCTGGGCAGCTATGCTACCACTGAACAATATTCCAAACTCTCCCTTAATTTTCTTTAATTTGTATTTCTATTCAAAAAGGTTTTCAGAGTTAATTGTCAAATTGGAATAACTCTTGATTTGTTTGAAGCTGTATATAATAAAATAAACTGCTGGAAGGAAATTTGTGTCAAAAGATATATCTTGTGTAAAGTTGGAGTAGCTTTGGCTTGTATGCTTAATTTAACTTAAAAACATTTCTAGTTAATGTAAAAATATGCAATGAAAGGAAAAATGGCTAGTTCTGTTAAGTCTCAGTGTGCTTATTCTGATAGAGTCATACACAGCAATACCTCTTTAGTGAACAGCAGCACTCACTACAGAAACTATGGTGTCAGTTGGAAAGAATCTGAGATTTGTAGGTTGAGGCCATGATAACTAATAGACTGTTACCGGAAAGTCATTTGTCTCAGATGGGAGGGCTATCTTCGGCTGGATAGCTGTACTGGTGAGAAAGAACAGACTAGAGGCTGTAAACTGGCAGGGCGGGTACAGTACTTGGCCTGCAGGGAAAAAAAATTGAATTAGCTCTATTAAAAAAATTAAATTACACATACAAATTTAATTTCTGGCTTCATTTAAAAAGTTGGACAGTATGACAAGAATATAGCTATAATCAGTTGGACCTAAACTGTAGCTTCTTTCAGATAACCTTTTTTGATTTATTCCACCTAGGGATGTTTTTATTTTAACATCATCACTCTGTATGTTTTTGAGTGAATTCATAAACCATTTGAAACCTCGGATTTCTCTTGACATATCTAGGGGATTTTATTGACACATCCTATTCCTGACTCAATTATGTTCTCATTCTTAACATCGCTTCCACAGTTCTCTCATGTTTCTCTTAGCAACAATCATCCTGTTGGTTGTAAGGCTTACTCTATTGCACTTCAAGTAGAGCAGCCACATTCTGAGGAATCTGGTCCCAGTAAAATATGGAAATATGTTTGAACTTACCCAATTATCAGTTCTCGTCAAAAGTGGCTGCATTGTCCTCTTCTGTGGCCTGATAGGGCTGCTCCCCCCTCAGGGGGAGGTGATCAAATAGCAGGCCAATCAGATTATGTCAGAGGCAGTCCCTCTTCCCATTACTAGGTAACCCACTTGGACACTGACCTGCCATGGGCTACATCTGTGCAGGGGTTCTAGGTTATCTCCATGAATAGCCAGAAGCTGGAAACAACCCAGATGCCCCTCAACTGAAGAATGGATGCAGAAACTGTGGTACATCTATACAATGGAATATTACTCAGCAATGAAAAATAAGGAAATCATGAAATTTGCAGGTAAATGGTCGGACCTGGAAAGGATCATCCTGAGTGAGTTGTCTCAGAAGCAAAAAGACACACACGGTTTATACTCACTCATATAGACATACAACATAGGACAAACCCACTAAAATCTATGCATCTAAAGAAACCAAGCAAGAGAGAGGACCCTAACTAAAATGTTCAATCCCCACCTGAAAGGCAAAGAGGATGGACATCAGAAGAAGAAGAAAACAGGAAACAACCTAGAAACCCGCTACAGTGGGCCTCTGAAAGCCAGAAGAAGAAAACAGGAAACAAACTAGGAACCTGCCACAGAGGGCCTCTGAAAGCCTCTGCCCTGCAGACTATCAAAGCAGATGCTGAGCCTGATGGCCAACTGTCAGGCAGAGTGAATGGAATTTTATGTAAGAAGTGGGAAATAGTAAGAGCTGGAGAGGACAGGAACTCCACAAGGAGAGCAACAGAACAAGAAAATTTGAACACAGGGAACTTCCCAGAGACTCATACTCCAACCAAGGATTATTCATGGAGATAACCTAAAAGTTTTTAATACCCAGACAATAATGTGACATAGGATTTGGCGTTTTTTGTATTCAGCACCAAAATTGACTGTCTAAACCAAGACGTTTAGTAACATAGTTGTTTGTCCCACACTCACTCCACTGCTCCTTACCTGACAAGTTGGAAAGGCATGGTACAACTGCACCGTAGAAGTAGTTTGAGGATGGTAATTTACCTACCACGAGAGAGATATCTGGTACTAAGCCGAAGTCCTGAAGTCTAGACAGATACACTATGATGCTGTTTACTAGTAGGGCATTTGGTGACTTTTTTGGAGGGATGAGTGATAGAAGCCTGCACTTTTTTGCTGCATAATCAGGCTTGGGAGAGCACAGGCTTGTGGAAACTAAGCTCATATACTTCAGTGTTGTGGGTATTAATATTTATTATTGATATATCTTTTAGTTAAACAGCGGTTATTCCTAAACAAGCTGTATACCCAAATCACCACAAAGAGACTGGGATTTATTTCATTAACCTAGAGCACAGTGCTGGGCAATAGTTATTCCATCCTAAACCACATAGTTTTTTACCATTCAGATTTCACCCATTATACTTGCTTTTAGCCATATCTTAGGTCCGGTTCATCCCTCCTCGTGGTTCTAAGACCTCCCCTGTAGATTCTCTTCCCCCCTCTTCCTCTCTCTTCCTCCCAACCAGGATATTCCACCCTATCCTCTCCATTGCACAGCATTGGGGCTGGTTGTTTAATTGGCAATATAGAGAACAAATGGTGGCATGTTTACACAAACTTGAAACAAGTGATGCTTAGAAAAAGCATCATAATGCAATGTCTGGATTGAAAGCAAGATAGTGGGGTAGAGAAATCAGCCTTTGAATGAACAAGGATAAATTGTATATATTCCAAAACATTATACCAACACTTCAGCATTGAGGTGAATCCTGACAATGAGTTTGCATGTCTTTTGCAAACAAATAAGTGGCCTTGCAATGGTATAAAGTGGACTAGAACTCTACCTGGAACTTTAACAGAGACATCTTTATAACTACTTCTTCTGGGAATCCAAATCACAAAGCTAACTCCATTGACATTATAAAGAAATAATGTCACCCATTTTTTTTGAGCCTTTGTTGATTTCTTACCTCTTGAATAGCTCAATGTGAAGAAATCTAATGAAGCACAGTTTTAATTTCAAAAGTTTTTAGTACCTATGCTGGAAGCTGTTCTCCTGCTATACCTGCCAGACTCCTTTAGGTCTGTTACCCAAGTCCTGTTTTCAGGTGTATCATTACAATGTTTAAGTTTTCTCTTGGGGCAAACCAAAGACCACATAGTACTTTCCCATAATCATATAATTTAGCCTCAGAAAAGTGCTTCACGGGGTGAATCATGTGACACTGGCTGACAAAAGAAAAGAGATGCACAGAGTTCCGTGTTGTGCTGCGGGCTTCTTGGTACTCTGTCTGTGTATGGTGAGCCCTGGGGCTGCTGTTTCATTTGGAAAAAGTCACCATGAGATGAATTTATCTGTTGTGTTTAGCTCATTCCTGCACACATCTTTAGGTAATCGTCACGCCCTGCTT